GGGGGGGGGGGGGGGAAGGGGAGGAACTAATGAATATTTATTGCTCAGCGGCATAACAGAGTGCTTGGCATCATAACAATTGACAGACTGACAGTATCCATCATGATGATTAGCAGGGAAGCTAGGTCCCACTAGCAAAAGAGGATTGGACTAAGAGCCTGAATCTGGATGGATTTAAGTGCAGATGCAGAAAAGCACATGAATCAGGACTTTCTGCACCTCTCCATAAACATGTCCAGATTCAGGCTTTAGAAATCCAGTTCTGGTTGCTACTGGGATCTCTTCGAAAGTACCCAGCCCATGTGGCACCCCCTGACAAAAACAAAAGCCAAAAGGGAAATGGTACACCCATGAGCTGCTGAGATGCAAACCAGAGTTCAATCACGTCTTTTTTTTTTTCTTTTTTTTTTTTTTGTGATTGAACTCTATTGAACTCACTTTAGAGTTCAATCACATGAATTAATGGGATCACAGGAATTAATGGGCTTGGCTCCACTACTCACCTCAAAACACAAAAGACACAAAAATATGGCGGTGTATCTCCACTACTCACCACAAAACACAAAAGACACAAAAATATGGAGGTGTATCTTTCCATGTTCCCAGGAGCTGAAAGTGGGGGTCCCCATTAACCACTTGTGTGCTCTAGCGGAAGATTCATTCTCAATTTGCACATTTTGTGAGTAGTAGAGTGAGCCCCAATGACTCTCAATTACTTGGGGCCCAGTTCTATGATGATACCTCAAGTATGTCTCTTGTACTGGGGTGAAGGATGATCGTGGCCGCCCGATGGGGTGTGACAGAACTGAGTGTCCTTTTAACGAGGGGGGGGGGGGGGGGTCCCCCCCCCCCCCCCCCCCCGCCCCCCCCGCGGGGGTGCCCGGGGGGGGCCCCCCCACCCCCCCCCCGCCTCCCGCCCCGGGGGGGGGGGGGGGGGGGGGGGGGGGGGGGGGGGGGGGGGGGGGGGGGTGGGGGGGGGGGGGGGGGGGGGGGGGGGGGGGGGGGGGGTTTGGAGTTAAACTGCCGTTAAAATCCGTTTAATTC